CGATAAATGTAAAAATACTATTTGGACGCTTAATGCTATTTTTTGCTATATCTTTTTAAATTCTTTTTTAGGGGGATTAATATTTTAGAACAATGTTTAGAACAATTAGAACAATCTAGAACAGCAAAAAAATTTTAATTTAAAAAAAATGGGTGGCCACAAAAATAAATCGTTTTTTTGCTTTTCCCGTCATGTTTTTCGATTTTTTTTGTTCATAACTTTGGAACAATATAGAACAAACGTAGAACAACCTGGAACAACTAAAAAAATATTCAAAATCGAAAAATGGGGGGCTAACTTCATATAGGCCAAATAATCTCCGCCTTGCTAGATGCACTTTATCGGAACATTTGATTTTACGACACAATAAATTTTTTTATTCACTAAATTATTACTTCTTGTCTTTTAACACATGGTACTGTGTTTCTAGTAACTTTTCAATAACTATTCTTGGTATTTCTGAAACAGATAAAAATAATATTTGTTAAATATAATTGCAATTCTTGCTATCTTTGCTGCTGTTTAGTGTGCTTGATAAGCATTTATTAGAAACATTATCACATTCAGTGTGTTGTACAAATTAATTCATCTAATTACTCAATTATATATAAATTTCTGTCGTAAATTATTTAAACGGAAATTGTTAAAAAGATAAAAATAGTTTTGTTTTAAAGAAATTATATTGTGATGAGAATAGCGTTTGTTCTATTTCTATTTTTTTCAAATATACTTGTAAAAATATACTTAAAAAATTTCTATTTTATTTTTTTTAAATATAATTTTTTAAGATTGGGTTCTTTTTACATAAGTTAAAAAAATCAAATATTGTAATATTTGCTAAAATTTATTGTTTTTTGTATTGACTTGTTAAGTTTCGTGAATGACACTGCGCGTGATATTTGTTTGGATGAGTTTTGTGAGCGTATACGAATTAACGTATTACTTCAGCCTACTACATATGATACCGTAAGATGAGGTATTTATTGACTACTACTTTTGGCACCAGCTACTGTTATATGATGTAGCTACGTATAATTCTTAACATGAAAATAACATATTACGCAGTGACAGTTTCGTAGAAATTCCATTTTGAGAATCTTTGCAATATGTTTGCATAATCAGTAATTAGAGCAATAAAAATAGTCTTATTGATAAATATTTTTGGTAATATTAATGATTATGAATGATATTTATCAATATTTATCATAAGAGAATTCAATAATTTTATCAAAAATATCCAATAAGATAAATTTTACAGAAAAAATTATAAGAAATTAAAAACGTTTGATCTAACTTGATTGTGAAATTTTTTTTATGGACTTTCTTATAAATTTTTAAGACTTTAGTATAATGTGCAAGTACTTTATGGTGGCAATGATTATACTGTATGTACAGCACAATCAATGGTCAATGACCATTCAATAAGACATCAATTTAATATCACTCTAAATCTCACTAGTGATACAATATCGTTTTCAGACTCCGACGTATAGAATATATATATAATATAATTATATAAATATATATATTCTTCTGTTCAAATTTTTTTTCATAAATAAAAATTATTTCTACGAGTAGTTCGTCTAATGACATAAAATATGTAAAAACATATATTTATGTCAATAAAAAATCGCAGCGCGATAAATTGACTGAAATAAATTATGGCATGATAAAAGTCATGTGACTTTAATGTATATTATTAATTTTTGCTTACGAAGGCTTGATAAAAGATATAAATATATTTAATATGTCTGCGAAAAGTTGATATCAGGAGAATATAATGCATTGTGAGAGGTTATTCACACATGATGTGACGCGGTATGGTTGCAACATAATTAGAAATCGAGAAGGAAAATCGTAAATATACTTTGTCATTATGAAATGCTGTGATGACAGCAAAATAGAAAAACAAAGTGGTTTACAACTGATTTAATGATATTTTAATATTCAACAGTTTAATGGTTATTGAATCACATAGTTATGCGATCGTTTTGATGAAGAATGATCAAGATCGAATTTTTTTGTCATTTTTTATCACACGCGTCTGTAATTAATTTTAAAATCTTTACATTACTTTATTTTTGAATAGCGAAACGTGTTACAAAATTTCGACAGTTTTTATTATTAAAAATCAACATTATCTATCGATGTTCCGACGATATACGAAAACAGCATATAAATTTTCTTCTCTCCAGACAGCAGTGATTCATATCGGTTTAGTCCGTTGGTTGTTAGGCATAACGGGTGATAACGAGAGAAAATGGTATGTTTTCTAACATTGATGTTACTAGAAAATCACGTGTCGTGCTGATAAAATGTATTTTTGTGTATTGAGTGTCATACATAATGATTACTATTTGGAGCACATATATGCTGTAAGAACAGATAATCGAATCCTCGTGCGATTGATAAAATTGTATATTTCACCGTTGCGTACGAAAAAGGCTTTTGAATTGATTATGAATGTAGATTTATCATCGCGATAAGTAATATTCTTGGGAAATCCCGGCAGTACATATTATCTAATGGAAATAAATTGCTGTCATAATTGATGTCCAAACATTTAAAAATTACGATTTATAAAATATTTTTATATTACATAATTAACAAATTAATTAAATCAGCAAATAGTTGTACGGAAAAACATCATAAACGATAAACGATATAAATTATTTATAGATAACGTTGCAAAATATGTATGAACTGATCGGAGAATATGTAAATCAGACGATATTTTTAGCTCCAGTTCGTATCTGTAATATATTTATGTAAAATCAAATGTAATTGTGTGGTTGAATTTTCCAAGTTCTATCGGTAGAAAGATGAAATCTTCAAGAAGCATGTTTACGAATTTTCATAAAATCTTTGTTCCGAATATAATCTCAATCGGCCTCGAAACCTTCATTTAGCGTAAATAAATTGCCTCTGTCTGGTGTCGATTACGAAATCGAGACGTTCAAGGCGTTAATCGCATGAACTATTCATCTCTTGTTCGTATAACGTACCTTGTTCTTGATTTCTTTTTTAACATGCGCGATATAAAATTTGATATTTTTTTGAAGTGTAACTGATACTCGCGTGCACACTTCGTGGATTCACACGTGTACATTGATAAGAAACGACAACTAATTATGTATTAATATGACGACAAAATAAAAACAAACATTTAATACGACGAATATGTAGATAAGAGACTTAAAAAGTTTTTATAAAAGTTATATATATATATATATATATATATATATATATATATATATATATATTA